AATCTGGGCGTGGCCGAAGCTTATGCAGACCCCTAAAAGAGACCAGTTTATAAAACAGACAAATAAAAAGCGGGGAAACAAATGTAACTAAGTCTCATCAAGAACTTACAGATTGTACACAAGCCTTTAAGGAACAGAGACAAAAACAGTTCATTTACCCCATGTTAGACCCTCTTTCGCTTAGTCCGTCGTGCGTGACGCGAAAGAAAACCGCGAGAAAAAAATGGCCGCGCGGCCATTTTTGTCTCGCGTGTTTTTTTCTCGCGTCGCGCACGACGGTCTAAGCGAAAGAGGGACTCGTAGTCTAACCCCATGTAGTTGTAAGCAATTCATCAGGTTTACAGCTCTAAAGAGAGCTTGCGATAGTAATTATTAATTTTTGATAGTTATTCATTATTTTTTTATTTATTACAAGCCTGATCTGAGACTTAATAAAATGGTGACTTTACAGATCTTATCATATGGCTAGCTCCGTGAGCGCGCAAGATGAATCAAATCCTGCGCTGTGATTGGCTACCTGAGCGAGCAAGATGGCCCTATCTTGCCCTCTCGAGACTAAGAGCCTTTAGGCGAACATGCATATTAAGAAAATATAAGTGACAAGTGTGATATTCCATCATATACCACGAGAGGGCGTTACATAACTATTTTATACTATGTCGCGGAAATACAGTGGGCCAACACAATTAATGCGATAAACGCGTGGCGCATGATGGGATGGTTGAGTGTTCCTTACCGTCGAATATACGACTTTTTTTAATTTTAACTCACACATTTAATATTTCAATTGTTTAAAAAAACTCAATTCAGTTCAATACTTAACGATTGCGTTTTTCGCTGGCATCAGTTATTCCTACCACGATAACAAAATGAAAAAACAAAACAAAACAAAAAACAAAATATATCTAAATCCACCAATCTCAACACACTGACTTTGCCTTTTTGAGCCCCTTGGCGTTTGAGATTCACAAAAGTATTTCACGAGACTCTCGATTACACCGTGTACACCAGCCCCTAGCCTCTTCCAGGTGTTCAGTTAGTTGGGGCGCAGCGTGAAAAACAGCGCGCGAAGAAATGAAAAAAGCGCGGCGAGACGAAGCAAAAGTTCTTTTGCTTCCTCTCGCCGCGCTTTTTTATTTTTTTCGCTCGCCGTTTTTCGCGCTGCGACCCAACTAACTGAACACCTGGAAGAGGCTAACCAGTCCCCAGTTTTATCTGGAATTTATGCGATTCACGTGGCCTGTGTCAGCCTGTGCTGCTGACCGTAGTTTAAGTGGCTTGAAGAGATTGAAAACCCGTCTTTGCAGCACAGAGAAACCAGTCAGGAGATTTTGTCCTCTCTGGCAATTCTTCACATACGTACGCATAAGCATGTGGACATTGACAATGTGGTTTCAGAATTTTCCTTTCTAAAGAAGCGACGTCTCGTCATTTGCTTGTGAATACTTTTTAAACTAGTCTCTCCTATTAAGCCTCCGGCCTACCGTCAATTATCCCAAAGGCTGACATATAAAAAGCATAAGATACTAAAATATGCAACGTTTTTCCATGTTTAGATTTATAAAACTGTCCTCTGAAAAACGTTAGAAGCCATTTCCGAAGTCCTGCATGAGAATAAAATTTTCCGTGAAGTGGAGGGATGCTAAAAGCGAGGCCGGAGTTTGGTAAAATTGGATTCATTTTGAAATGAAAATCACAAGTATTAATCTTTGGTCACGGAA